CTCTGCCCCTCGCCCGTTCATGCTCTGTCTCTCTCTGTCCCAAAAATAAATAAACGTTGAAAAAAAAAAAAAGGGGGAAATCTGGACACGTAGACAGATGCCCACGCAGGAGAGCACCACGTGAAGGTTGGAGTTCCATTGCCCCGAGTCAAGGCACTACAGGGAACCAGAAGGAGGCCCGGCACAGATTCTGCCCTAGAGCCTTCAGAAGGAACACGGCCCTGCTGACACCTTAGTCTTGGACTTCTGGCTTCCAGAGCTGTGACGCGATACATTTCTGCTCTTCGACTCGATCAGACTGTGGTATTTTGTTATAGCGGCAACCGTAGGAAACTAAGACGCTATTCAAAATTGTTTTAGTTGATGCACTAAAATTTTGTTCAGCTTGGAGAATATTAACAGTTATATGCTGACATCAATGAGAATTAGAAAAAAAAAGTATCTCCTGTGACTCAGTTCTGTGATTTCAGGCTTGTTTTCGGTTCGGACCGGCCCGACGTGGGTACATCGTAAGCGAGTCACATTTTAGTGGGCACGCGAGGGGCCATGCGGTGGCGTGGCTAAGAAAACAGACTCTGAAGCCAGGTTTTCAAGCACTGGTTTCGCCGCTCGCTGGCTGTGTGACTTTGGACAGACTCCTCAACCTCTCTGTGCCTTGGTCTCCTCTGTGAAATGGTGTTGCTAACAGCATCCGCCGCCCGGGGTGGTTTAGATGATTACACACAAGATGACATGCGTGTTGTAAAACATGCCGCTTTCGGTTCAGTGCTTCGTAAATGCCGGCTTTTCGCTTTATTACCCAGACGCGGGACATCTAGTGATCGCAGCACACGCATGAGGGAGGGGAGTCCCAGTGAGCTCAGCAGGACAGACCAGACTTTTGTCTCCTGAAGCTGCAGTTAACGGAGCCAGTTTGGGTGTCGGAGAAACAGCATCACGCGGGATTTACCATCTGCACCCTCCACGTGCTGTTGGCCCTCCAAGAGCTGACGGGGCCCTTATCTCGTCCCCTGGCCCCCCCCCCCTTCCCAGCTTCTTGGTCCTTCATCCAACCAAAGCAGATAGATCCAAAACTCACCACGTTTGGCTGACATCTTACATGTTACATCTGACTCTTCACCCCTGTCGACTACATCTCGAAAGACCTATTTACAAATATGGCCTCTCCAACCCTATCGGCGGCTGTGACCTTGGCATGCCCTTGTCAACATATCACTTCTGCAGTGATTCCCTTTCCACGTCTACCTTCCTCGGGTCCCCCCAGTGCAAGCATCTTTCTAGGCTCTGGCTTTTGCCAAGAAGTCCCAGGAGCCAGTTTGGTCCTAACTCCGCCCACTGGATTCTGGCTCTTCGTGTGGGTAGGACGCAGACAACTCCACCACCCGCAGCCTCTGTCTGGTTGTGGTTCGGGGTCACTCCCTGCTGAGGCAGGACGCAGATCAGACCCAGCCTTCCTGCAGTGGCCTTAGCACTGAATACTACCTGTCCAGATCCAGCGGCCTGGCTTACTTAGGTCTCCCTTGCTCCCTTGCTAGATCTCAGGACCTGCACCAGCCAAGTGACAAGCCAGGGAGTCCCCCATCACTGCCGAGTCTCGGCTCTGCCGTCCTCTCACGGCAGGCTCCCCACCGCCCAGCTCCTTGCCCTTGGTTGTTCAGGATAAATGGCACAACTAGTCTTATATGCTTACAACAGACTCCTCGGTTGCTGTCAGGAATCCGGCCACTGGTAAGACTCAGAGACGAGCCACCACCTTCCCCATCCTCTAGTCCCACATCCACCCTGGCTCCCGACAAGCCACACTCCATGTGGCAGCCACAGGGACCTTGTTCCAATATAAAGCAGGTCAGTGCCAAGTCCCTCCCCCAGTCCCTGCTCACCTCTGTGACCCCTCACCCGCCACGCTCTGGCCTCCAGCCTTCTTTCTTATTCTTGAGCCAACTGAGCAGCTCTTTCCTACCTCAGGGCCTTTGCACAGGCTTTCCCTTCTGCAAAGGGCTAGTCCTTGACCTCATCCAGGTCTCAGCTCGTGTCCCCCCTCCTTGGAGAGGCCTCCTCTGACCACGCTGCCAGCCTTGGTGCAGTTGCTGTCTTGGTGGTAGCTGTTACCACCCATCTTCGTGTTTGTTATCTAGCCCTGCCCGCCGAAATATCAACACCAAGAGAGCAGGAAAAGTGTGTTGCTCACTGGATCACCAGGCCTGGATCAGGGGCCGGCACATAGCAGGTGCTCAGCACACAGGTTTCTGGTGAGGTCAAAAAGACAACAGATGATGGGGCGCCTGGGTGGCGCAGTCGGTTAAGCGTCCGACTTCAGCCAGGTCACGATCTCGTGGTCCGTGAGTTCGAGCCCCGCGTCGGGCTCTGGGCTGATGGCTCAGAGCCTGGAGCCTGTTTCCGATTCTGTGTCTCCCTCTCTCTCTGCCCCTCCCCCGTTCATGCTCTGTCTCTCTCTGTCCCAAAAATAAATAAACGTTGAAAAAAAAAAAAATTAAAAAGACAACAGATGACCTGCTGCCTTACCCAGAACCCCATCTGGGGCTGGGCTGGACTGGACTGGAGCATGCCCCTGACCTGCAGCCCCAGGCCTGGGCCCCACGGCCCAGCCTCCCCTGCTGGCCCGGCCCATGGCCCAGGGCACATTCCCAGGATGCTTGCTGCGAGCTCCTCCTACTGTCCTGACCCCCCAACCCAGGGCTCCTGTGCTGTAACACTACCTGAGTCACCACCAGGCTTGTCAGGGCCCACCCCCAGGTGCCTGCAAGGCCGCCTCCGTGACCAGCCAGCCGGGGTGGGGGGAGGGGGGAAGGGGGAGGAGCAGCCCGGCACAGCCATCCAGAGCACGAGCCCTGGAGCCTGGGTGTGAATCGTGGCTTTGCTGTCCCGTTACTCCAGGCAAGTAACTTCCACGTTCTCAACCTTGGTTTTCCCACCTGTGAAATGGGAGAAGGGGGTAGCACTATCCAGAGGGATTTCCTGGAATTTGCTGCCTGGCACCCACTGCCTCTGCCTCCGGGGACAGCACCAGTGTCTGCTTCACAGAACCACCCCGACTCAAGCCGGGAGCGACAGCAGCTCCAAGGCTTTGCTGGCCTCGGTGGAACAGTGCCTGATGGCCCTGCCGAGCACTTGTTCTCGGCCAGGTGACCCTCTAAGTGGCCTATCTCTCCAGCTCTTTGATCCTGAGAGCAACCCTCAGATGGGGGGGTTCTTCTTCTCCCTGTTTGCAGATCGAAGAATGAGGCCCAGAGAGGTTAAGTAACCTGCCCGAGGTCACAGAGCTAGTGGGTGGTCAGGCTTGCTTTCTGCCAGTGTTGCTGGGCTATGGGCAGCTGGTGGCCATCTTACCACCCTTAAGAGCCTGCCCAGGCACAACGGGCACAAAGAACGTTGAAGTGGAAGATGGACAGAGGCAGGCTGCTGCTTTTAATCACCCGGATCCATCTGTGCCTAAAAATCCCACCACCGTCGGACTTTTTAACTACACGGGTTGATGCGGACTCTTTCCCTCAAAGACGCTTTTTCAAAATCACGTTGCTACCTAAAATGCCTTGCTCTGTATTCATGTGGGTTTCGGGCTGTGGTAAGAATTAATCAGATAATGCCTGGGTGCAGCCCTGCCCACGGCCCCTCAGCCAAACCTCTGCCCACAGCTCCGGTGCAGGGCTCCCCCGGCACCGGGGAGGGGTATGTAAGAACCTGGCTCCCTTGCTCCAGGGTGGGGAGCGGAGGTAGAACGTGGATGTCCAGCCCTGCCTGCCCAGAATCCCCCAGCCGGGAGGTGTTCCACTTGCCCAGGGAACTTGTGTGGCATCCCCAATGTGGACGGAATGCCACAGCGACAGAGATCAGGGCCCCTGGCTCAGACAGACTGCTTGTTTAAGCAAGGCTGGCGGGCTGGAGCTGGATTTTGCCCGGGACACCCCAGGGTTCCAAATCCTGGGGACACCAGGATGCCTTGAATTCTCTGGCATTCACAGAATGCCAGAAACCAGAAGCAAGTGGCTTCCTCAGAGCCACTCCACCGGGGCTTGGGGCCTACACTGGCCACTTCCCAGCCGTGTGACTGATCGCCTGCTCTGGGCCTCAGCCCCTCCTCTGTGAAATGGGGACAATCTGTGGGCCTCCCTCAGAGGCTATGTATAAGGATCATAATTTATTACGAATGACATAACAAAGCTGACAGCGGTGGCCGGCTCACAGGAAGTGCTCAATGAACGTGACCTCTCGTCTCCATTAGAAGAGCAACAGGCTGACTTCACCATAACCTCTTTTGTACTATTGGAATTTAGTACCATTGGCACGTATCATGATCCATATAAAGTAGAAAATAACAACAATTTAAAAGCAAAACCAAAACTGAAATAGGTTTTCTACTAGAACCGCATCTTGGTTATAGAGTGAGCAAGTGACTGTGATGGTCGACTTAATGTGTCTATTTAACTGGGCCACAGGGAGCCCAGATATTTCGTTAGACACTACTCTGGTTTCCGAAAGGCGTTTTGGGATGAGGTTAACGTTTCAGTTGGAGAATGAAGCAGATTACCCTCCATGATGTGGGTGGGCCCCATCCAATCAGTTGAGGGGCCTGGACTGAAAAAAAGGACTGACCCTCTCCCAAGTAAGAGAGAATTCTCCAGAAGACGGCCTCTGGACTTCATCGGCAACTTCGACCCTTCCGGTGTGATGGCCTGTGTACTGGAAGACTGGCTCTTCCTGGTTCTGCTAAGCCAGCCTGCATATTGGACTTTGGCACACACACACACACACACACACACAAACACACACTCTCTCTCTCTCTCTCTCTCTCTCTCTCTCTCCCCCCCCCCCCCCCCTCGGTTCTGTTTCTCTGGAGACCTTGACTAACAACACAATTAGGAAAGGTGAGCTCAGGCCTTGACAAAGAGGGTAACACAGCCAAGACTGCTCTATCACGGCATCCCAGTGAGAGTGCCCCAGGCCCAGCCCCAGTCCTGCTCAGAGGCTGCCAGAACTCTTACTTGAACATGCCTTCTCCTGGTCTGGGAACACAGCAGAGGGCTGGGGGTTCAGGTTCAACTCAGGTCTGCTGGGAATGAAAACCTCAGCGTTGTCCTTCCGCTTAGCAGACAAATTCCTCTCCTTCTTACTACCTGCAGGAAAACAGCGGTTTATATGTCAAACGTGGAGCGCTAGCAGAGCGGGGGCATGCTGCTTGGGTATCTGTTGGTTCGTTCACTTATTCACTCGGCAAATACTTGCTGAACCCCCACCCTGTGCCAGGCGCCACGCTAGTTTGGAATGGAGATGTGAATTATGCGGCGCATCCTGGCAAATAAATGAAACTCTCTAGGACACGTTCTAGGTGTAGGTTTTCAGATTTTAACATTTCTGGGACAGAAGAAGTTTCCAGCACCAGGGTCACAGAGGGGCCACGCAGCTGGGAGCATGTGGCGGCAGGCATGCAGCTGACAGAGAGGAGAGCCCTGACAGGTTACCAGAGGCACGGAGATGGGGCATTCCAGACACAGGGAACAGAATGTGCAAACAGGGAAAGGCACACAGGCCGTGCTTTGAAGTCAACGTTTCCCAAAGTAGGGTGCCTGTACCGCGGGCAGAACAGGAAACGATGCCAGAGGCCGTGCAGGCAAATGTTTTTTAAGCGATTATTTAACTGAACCTGCATGGAAAAAAACATGTAACCAGCCTATTGATCGCTTGATTTCATTAATATCATTGCTTAGAACAATCTGAAAATCATTAAAGAGAGGAAAGAAAGAGAAAGGAAGGGCAGGGGCGAAGAAACAGAGGGAGATGGAGAAAGAAAAGAAAGGTGCTGATTGAAACAACAGCTAAAACAGTACAGGAGGTTTGTGGCAATGGCAAAAAACAAACAATCAAAAACACACAAAAAACCAAAAGCCAAAAAACCCCCCTGTGACTTCAGAAGGTCTGCAAATGGCTCCAGCTCAGGGGCAATGGCGCTAAGAGCCTCTGTCCAGCGCAGGTTTCAGAGCTCGAGAGGACGTGCTTGGGACCAGCGGGCAGAAGGCCAGCTTTGCAGGCCAGCAAGGCTGGCGGCTGAGGAGAACAGACCCTGCCGGCAGGGAGATCAGTCAAGGTCCCAGGATTCGGGACTTCCTGACCTGGGAAGACAGGAAACCCGGGAACTGTCGGCTGAAGTGCCATGTAATCGGAGTCCCAGCAGAGCGATCCCGGGGGCCTCGGGGGGCCCAGAGGAGAGGGAGTCCCAGAATCCAGGGCCCCATGGGATTGTTGGGAGCTCAGAAGGTGCAGGGTGTCCTGCACCAACCTCTCTCCACCCTTCGCTGCGGACTTGATGAAGGACATGTGTTTCTCTATACACTTCTGAACTCGCTGTTCCCTGGCTGGCCTGAAATGCAGGACCCAACGGATGACATTCAGGACAGGGGACAAGACAAAGAAGGGACGGGGCAAATGACCACAAGACTCTCTCCCCACATGCCGAAAATATGCAGCTGCTGCTAACAGCGACAGCCAGCACTGATTGAGGTCAGGCCCCTGAGTGCTCAGCTGCGGGGACAGGTCCCTCCCCAGACATCGCAGGGGGTGGATGGGAGGCGCCCAAAGATGCCTTGACACAAGGTCACAGGGCAAAGGGGAATCAACAGTGCTGATCAGCCGACTCGAAACTAGGGAGATCAGGGGCGCCTGGGTGGCGCAGTCGGTTGAGCGTCCGACTTCAGCCAGGTCGCGATCTCGCGGTCCGTGAGTTCGAGCCCCGCGTCAGGCTCTGGGCTGATGGCTCAGAGCCTGGAGCCTGTTTCCGATTCTGTGTCTCCCTCTCTCTCTGCCCCTCCCCCGTTCATGCTCTGTCTCTCTCTGTCCCAAAAATAAATAAACGTTGAAAAAAAAATTAAAAAAAAAAAAAAAAAGAAACTAGGGAGATCATTGTGGATTATCCCAGTGGATCCAATGGAAGCCACAAGGGTCCTTAAAAGTAGAAGAGGTCCTTAAAAGAAACAGAGTTTCAGTTTGGGACGATGAAAAACTTGTGGAGCTAGATCGTGGTCATGGTGACTGTCCTTAATAACACCAAATGGTGCTCTTAATGGTGAGTATGGTAAATCTGTGCCGTGTGTACCTGACCACAATAAACCAAACCCAAGCACTCGCACAGGCACAGAGAAGAGGGTGGCACACAAGGAGGGCGAGAGGGAGACAGGATCTGGAAGAAACGTACAGAGAGACTTGACCTTGCTGGCTCTGGAGGTGGAGGGAGGGACCCTGAGCCAAGGAATGCAGAAGCCTCTGGAAGCTGGAAAAGGCAAGAGAGGTTGTCCCCGAGAGCCTCCAGAAAGCTCACAGCCTTGCGGATACCGTGGTTTTAGCCCAGTGAGCTGATGTCAAACTTCTGGCCTATAGAACTATAAGATAATAAATCTGTGTTGTGTTGGGCCACCGAGTTCGTCATGATTTGTTACAGCAGTGACAGAGGACTAATACATACTATTACAGAATAGGGCTCTGAGGTTCAGGTTGTTGGCCCAAGGTCACAGAGCCAGGGAGCGATGGAAGCAGGTTTTCACCAGGCCCGCCTGGCTTGGAGCCCTGCCCTGAACCACGTTAATCCCTGTCTACCACCACCTCCTCTGGATAAGATGACCTTCCAGAAACTGTGGCCCCCAGGCCTGCCTTATCTATCGAAAGTCTACATGAGGATATTTTCTAGGGCTCCAAAGGATCCAGAACCCCCTTGAGTCTTCACGGAAGGTGGCCTGGGACCCCCACCAGCCTCCTCATGAACCTCGCTCCCCACATGCTCGCTTGGCTCCAGCCGCACTGGCCCTTTGTCTGTCCTCGGGTGTGCCAAGTTCGTTCCCTCTTCGAACCCTTTGCACCTGCTACCCCCTGCCCCTGGAATGCTGTTCCCACAGCTGCTCCCTCCTCATTCCCGTCCCAGCTTCACCACGGTCTCCTCTGAGAAGGCTCCTCTGACCCTTCCAGCCCGCAAGGTCCTTCTCTGACCCCCAGCCCCCAACCAGAGTCCTGTCTTATAATCTTGACAACATTCCAGGCTCTTGAGGGCACCGTGCTCTCCTCCTACCTGAATGCTTAAGCTGGCCCATGATTTGGCTTCACCTTTCCAGTTTGGGGAAAAACAACTTCTGTTTTTCTCTGTGCCACTCCCGCGCTGGCCCTCACGGACAAGAGGACACGTGGAACGGGACAGGGAGGGCAGGAAGCCATCAGAGCTCAACCCAGCCACTCTCTTCGTTCCTCGAGTGGGCTCGCCTTCAGGGCGCCCCACTCCCCCGCCCCCGCCATCACACTGGTGCCATTAGTTGTCCAGCTCTGCCAATATCTGGGATCAGGGTCTGTCTACTTTAGCGGGCAGCACTGAGTGGCCAGCAATGAGGCTCTTCTCAGTTGGAAAGGTGGATCATTTGCTCTCCTTCTAGCAGACTCCCAAACCCATCTCTCATTTGTTTCAATTAGGAGGGAAAAGAGGGCTTTGACTCCTCAAAGCCCAACTACTGCTTTATAACTTGATCTGGTTTATTTATTTAGCCTAGTGATTAAGAGCTCAGGCTCTGGGCTCTGACGCCTACAGACTCAACCCCACTCTGCCCCTCCCTAGCTGCGTGACCTCGGGCAAGTGATCTGACCGCTAGTGCTTCCGTTTCCCCATCGGTAAAGCAGGTACAATGCCAGGACTTGCCTTGGTGTTGTGGTAAGGACTTCGCGTCCTTGGAACAGTGCTTGGCACACGTTAGTAAGAATTCTGCAAATGCTGGCAGTTGTTATCACTGTGGGGTGTGTGTGTGTGTGTGTGTGTGTGTTCTCCTTGCTAGGATTAGGGGCCACGGGAGAAGGGACCGGGGCCTCTTTTGTTCCAGCACATTGCCTGGGGCGTGATATGCGTCCGGTGAAAAAAAAGGAACGAACAGCCCAGAACCAAGCACATCTTTTCCGGACACTATTGACTAGTTTTGAGTAAATGCTCGGGATTAGTTCAGAACTCCAATCCCACGCTGGGGTCTGGGGGACCCTGCGACAGGCCCCTCAACCTCCGTCTGCTCCTCTCTGTGAGTGGGTTCTCCTGCTGGGGAATCACTAGGGAGAATCACTAGGGAGAACATCCCTAGGAGGCAGGCATCAGCCCTCTGTGGCTCCAGATGAAGCAGCCCCCGCCCACGGTAGACATCGCTGCGGCCAGCGAGGGGCCTGCCAAGCAATCTAATTGTTCGAAAACGCCAAATGTCAAGAGAGTGAAGTTCTCTCTCTTTTTGTTTCACGCTCCAGCATCACTCGCAAAACGGTGCCGGGGGTCCAGCTGTCTGTGGCCTGGTCCTTCACCCCACAAGTGACTATCGTGCCCTCTGTTTCCAGGACAGGGGGGCTCGCTCAGTCTCCTTACAGCCCTCCCCCTCCCTCCTCACTCCTTGGAGAAAACGCAAGCCACTGGTCGCGGCCCCAGAGCGTCTCACGAGTATGTTAACATTTCCCCCACCGCGGGGTACTCCAGTGGGTGGGCATAAAGCTTTCATGCGTTTGACACCAATTTCCTGGGTGGCTTGAACGTGCCAGATGAGTGCTGTCCGCTGGGGAGGCAACGGAGGGGAAGCGCTGGTCTGTGCCCTGGCAGAGCTCACAGGCCAGAGGGGGAGAGAGACCCCTGGGAGTCCGGGGCAAGGCCAGCACCATGATGACATATATGGGAGCAGAGAAGGCACTGAGCTACCTGGCTGGGCCAGGAGGGCAAAGGAGGCTTCCTGGAAGAAGCAGCCCCGGAGCTGAGTCTTGAGGGGAAAGCAGGGAGCCAGGTTTCAGGCTTCGGGGTGGAAGGAAGATGTGGTAATCTAGACAGAGGGAGCGGCCCAAGCAAAGGTTTGGAGGTAAGAGCACACAATGAGAGCACACCTGAGGGACAAATGTTCGCTCTCTGGAAGCAACAACCACCGGGTGTGGGTTTTTCCAGGGCTGCCTGTTACCATGTCTCCCCAAAACTCATATGTTCAAGGGGCGCCTGGGTACTTCGAGTGGGTTAAGCGTCTGACTCCTGGATTCGGCTCAGGGCACGATCTCACGGTTCATGAGTCTGAGCCCTGCTTTGGGCTCTGCGCTGAGAGCGCGGAGCCTGGTTGGGATTCTCGCTCTCCCTCTCTCTCTCTGCCTCTCCCCTGGTCTCTCTCTCCCTCCCTCCCTCTCTCTCTCTCTCTCTCTCTCTCAAAAACTAATTAATTAATTAATTAAAAGAAAAAGCAACAACTCATATGTTCAAGTCCTAATCCCCAGGACCTCAGACTGTGACTGTATTTGGAGACAGTGTCTCTAAAGGGGTTATTAAAGAAAAATGAGTCGCTTAGGGTGGGCACTAATCCAATCTGCCTGGTGTTCTTGTAAGAAGAAGAGATGAGGACACACAGGCACACACAGTGGGCAGACCAGGTGAGGCCACAAGGGAGAAGATGCCCATGTCCAAGCCAAAGAGAGAGGCTGAAGGAGAAAACAACCTGCTGGCAGCCTGACCTTGGACTTCCAGCCTCCAGCACTTGTAAGAAAATAAGTGTCTGTTGCTGTTTAAGCTCCTGGCGCATCTGTGGTACTTTGTTATGCGGCACGAGCAGACTGATACACTCTGTCTGATTTCAAACATTCCCTTGTTCCTCTTCCCTGAGGGTCACTCACGCTTCCCAGCTGGTTGGCCTTGATATTTGGTTCAGAGCATGTGGCACAGCCGGCTTGGAGAAGGATGTGCTCAGAATTGAGGGAAGATGGGCACAGACCAAGCCAGCTCGGGCCCGGGCACGGGGACTGTGGCAGGTAGGCCCCTCCCTGCCCCCTCATCAATTGTTTTCTCTACTCAACTTTCCAGGGTCCTTTCTGGAAAACCGCCCCTCGTGGACAGCTGCTGTTTCTGTCTGTCCTGCACGCTTCCTTCCTTCCTCAGATTTACCTTGACTTTCCCTTTGGAAACTACCTGTCCATGTGGTTTGGCTGGCAGTGACCGCACCCAAGGCCTTATTGGCTGGACCTGGTCCATCAGAGCCACAGTGACTAGTTCAGAGATGTGACCCGATGTGGGTTCAAGAGCCAGGCCTGGGACCTGCACTGGAGCTTTTGGGAAGAAAAATCCATTTTCTGAGGGAGGCATAAAGCCAGGGTCTCAATTCTGTGTCAGTTATATGGAGAGCCCACCTCAGAAGGGTCCCAGGACAAATGAAGGCAGAGACGAGAGGGAGGAAGTGGAGGGGGGGGGCGGGGAGGAGGGGCCAAGAGTCCCATGACAGCCCTGGTCTCCTCCGTTCACCAAGCCAATCTAGTCCCTTTTGCTGAAGCCAGTATGCATTAGCCAGTTGGCATGCGGACCCTGTTATACTTCCTACAATGCACAGGCTAGTCCCCCCAAACGAGCTGCCAGACACCTGCCGTTTGGGATTTCGGGGTCATCTGTAGGCCTCTCGGAGCCTTTGTGTCTCGCGATCAGCAGACAGACCAGATGGACATACCTCCCTGGCCTGCGAGACGGTCTGCCCAAGACCGAACTCCTGACGCCCTGCTGGAAATACAAGTCCTGCTCTTAGGCTCAGAGCCATGAAAGGCAAAGAAATGCCACATAAGGCAGAGCTCACTTTTGGAAGCTGGGTTAAATTCCAGCACCACGAGGGGGTCTGGGCCCCGGGGAGGGCGTCCTTCCATCTCCTGGTCCTTGGGAACGTCCTTCTGCACCGCGTCCCCACTGGAAGGGGCGGGGTCATCTCTGCGGTGGCCCCCCAGCACCTGCTCTTCGGGCTCTGGCTCCGAGAGCACATCTTCTTCGATAGAGTCATATTCATCGCTGGAACAATCTTTTTGTTTCCTTTGTAGATTTACACTAAGTTCCAGGCTTTTTCTTAGCTCCTGCCAAAAGTCAAGAAGAGAGGCAAAAAATGAAATATGTTACTTTGAGAAGAACTCATCTGAAAATGGATCATTAGAACCGAGGGACTATTCCCAGCAAACGAACATTTACCAAAATCATCTTGACACACGTGTTGTCATCGCTCAGAAGATATGAAAGGGACAAACGAGTCACTCTCCAGCAGGGCGGTAATTACAGTATGAATTGTGGTCACACGCCTGGGATGTCACTAAGAGTGTACGTGTGTGTGCGTCACAAGTGTTTTGCTTTGGGGCTCTTGTAAACAGACTGTGGGGTCCCACCTCCCCCCACATCAGCGTCTCCGATTCGGTGGGTCCTGGATGAGGCCCGAGAAGATGCGCTTCTAACGAGGTGATGTTAATGCTGCTGGTCCAGGGACCACACTTTGAATATGAAATCCCAAAGGCCTCCAAATGATCCTGAAATTCCAGACAGTAAAGTGTCTGGCAGAGAGTTGTGGGGGGGCTATCCTATGTACTGAAGGATGTTTAGAAGCACCTAAGACGTCATAAGATGTAGCACTCGGTTGGCCTTTTTTTTTTTTTCAACCTGTGTCTCGTCTCCGTGAGGCGGTAGACTTACAAACGAAAGGCCAAACGTGAAGATCTACACTTGGAGAGACCAGGAAATGGATCACCAACCAGGATCCTTCTGAAAGGGATAAAGGGCTTACCCTGGGACAAAAATTTTAAACTCGACTCTCTGGGCCAACCAGTGGGTCTGGTCAGCGCAGCTATACTACCGGCATAGCTCGTGTTATCGAACATAGCTCTGAGAAAACGAGAAGCAATCAGTATGCTTGCCGTATATGTGTGATTGGCCAGTAAAACTTACTAGCGGCTGTGATGTGCCGAGTGACGACTACTCAAAGATGTCCACGTCCTAATAACCCCAGGACCCTGTGAGTCAGTGATAGCTCGTGAAGAGTGGAGAGGCACTAGAATACTTTGACCATCTTAGATAAACCACTGTAAAAAGACCCGACAGTAGAAATATGATGGACACCAAACGTGCTGCTTGTGGGGACTCAGGAAATAAGGAGCATGTTATGGAAACTAGGGGAGGGGGAGTCCCATGACGTAGCGGCAGGATCTTAGCCGAACTGTGTCTACGGCTACGTGAGAAGCGGTGCGTGGACCTGAGATTTGATGATGTGGGCAACTCTCAGCCTATCTAGGTTGCAAAGGATGCTAAAATGAGGAGATTCACGGTCAGAAAAACACGCTCGGGAGAGAAGCCTGAGCATGGCTGGACAACCTTTTGCTAGTTACTGGAAAAGGATCCAAAGTTTGGGGTATTCAATCATGCTGAGGGTTCTCTCGAGACATGGGACTCATGGATCCTTGGAGACATCTCAGCAGAAGCCAGGAATAGAGGGAAATTCTCCAGGAAAGATCTGTGAAGCAACCTCTTGTCTAATGGAGGGAACCCTAGAGACGTACAGAGACCATATGGTTTTTGAGAATGGCATACCAGTGCAAACACTGGCAGCCGGTACCAAACGGAAGAGAGGAAGGATGCAATACAAGAAGGCTTCCCACTCTCCAAATTCTACGGTCAGGAAGCATGAGGCTCTGTGCTGACAGTGTGGAGCCTGCTTGGGATTCGCTTTCTCCCTCTCTCTCTCTCTGCGCCTCCCCTGCTCGTGTTCTCTCTCTCTCAAATAAAAATAAATAAAATTAAAAAAAAAAAAAAACAAACAGATCACTATGGCTCTTGGGTACCGAGTGGAATTTGAGAGGTGGGGCCAGGATGGAAACAGGGCACACAGGTACAGCAGCAGTGGGGGAAGGCGGAGGTGGCTGCGGACGTGGGGACAGCAGGTGCATTTGGAGACGCGTTTTGGAGGCAGAGATGACAAACGATGGGCTAGAAATGAACAGGGTATATACACCCTTTGACCAAATCTCTCTGAGAATTATCCCTCAGTCCTAATATACGAAGGTCATGGAGGGATCCTTGATAATAGAGAATGACCTTGAGGGATCCTTGACAATAGAGAAGGATCTCAATGTGCAACGAGAAGAGGTAGTGGCGTCGAGTGGCACCAACGGAGCCTTGAGCAGCCACCACAGAAAACGAGGTAGCTCTCGCGCCCTTACTCAGAAAGATAGGAAGACATACATTTAAGCAAAAACCAAGCATGTCAAAAGATGCACACGTAGGATACGTCCAATTGAAAAAAAATCGTTTCTGTGCATGTGTGCAAATATGCCTACAAACAGTCTGGAAAAACAGGAGCGCCTGGGTGGCTCCGTCGGTTGAGCGCCCGACCTCGGCTCAGGTCACGATCTCGCGGTTTGTGAGTTCGAGCCCCGCGTCAGGCTCTGGGCCGACAGCTCGGAGCCTGGAGCCTGTTTTGGATTCTGTGTCTCCCTCTCTCTCTCTCTCTGCCCCTTCCTCTGTCCACGCTCTGTCTCTCTCTCTCAAAAATTAAAAAAAAATCATAAAAAAGTCTGGAAAAATAGTCACCAAATTACTAACAGTGTTCTCTCTGGGGGTGGCATTATGGGAACTTTCCTCTCCATTTTGTTTTACTTTTTTTTAATGTTTATTTATTTATTTTTGAGAGAGAGAGTCTGAACAGGGGAGGGGCAGAGAGAGAGGGAGAGAGAGAATCCCAAGCAGGCTCCACGCTTAGCGCAGAGCCCAACACAGGGGCTCAAACCCATGACCGTGAGATCACGACCTGAACCGAAATCAAGAGTTGGATGCTCAACCGACTAAGCCACCCAGGAGCCCCTACTTATTTTCAATTTAAAAAAAAAAAAAATTTTTTTTTGACATTTATTTATTTTTGGGACAGAGAGAGACAGAGCATGAACGGGGGAGGGGCAGAGAGAGAGGGAGACACAGAATCGGAAACAGGCTCCAGGCTCTGAGCCATCAGCCCAGAGCCCGACGCGGGGCTCGAACTCACGGACCGCGAGATCGTGACCTGAGCTGAAGTCGGACGCTTAACCGACTGAGCCACCCAGGCGCCCCATCAATTTTTTTTTTTTATTATAAGCACGTTTCCAACTTTGTAATTAGGAGAAAATGATATATTTATATTTATGTTTAAATCCCGTCCATCACTCTGGCAAATAGGTAAATTCCCCACAGGAGTGGTAGAGAGAGTGGGGTAGAGGACCCTGGACAGCCAGTTGTCTGAAAAGGAGCTGCTCTCCATCCGGGACCAAATCCTGTCCCCTCCAAAGAGTGACTCACAAAGCAGCAGCGCCTAACTCCGGAAGATGACAGACCAGCGACTACCTGACTTAGTGCATCCGGTCAAATGGACCAGATTTCAAAACAACAGGCCATCGGGGCGCCTGGGTGGCTCAGTCAGTTGAGCGTCTGATTCTTGATTTTGATCATGATCCCAGGGTCATGGGACTGAGCCCGTGTCGGGCTCGGCACTGAGCAGGAAGCCTGCTTAGGATTCTGTCTCTCTCCCTCTGCCCCTCTCCCTTACTCGGGTGCTCTCTCTCTCTCTCTCTGTCTCTCATAAATAAAGAAAAAAGGAAGGAAGGGAGGAAGGAAGGAAGGAAGGAAGGAAGGAAGGAAGGAAGGAAGGAAAGAAAGAAAGAAAAGCAGGCCACCAATTCTAACAGGAAGAAACTCAGGGAATATAGCACTCCTGAGCCTCTCTCAGGAAAAAAAAAACAACAACAACAAACCTCCCAGAACAAAATCCAAACAATGCACGGTGAAATCAAAATAAAGAACACGGAGTTGGAGAATCTGTGGTAAAACATCTGACGGTAAACACGGAAGCCATTTAGAGACCAAATAAATACTGGACAATTACGCACACTTGGGTCATGGACCAGAATGCAACGCTCTAAACCTAAGGCCTTAGCTTAGCTGACAAAAGCCAGAAGACAGCAGGCAGTGTGGGCGGACCCCCGACCTCATTTGCCAGCCAGTCATTTCAAATCCATCTTTTTTTTTTTTAATTTTTTTTAATGTTTATTTATTTTTGAGA